TGTATCACACTCTGTTACAGCATCACATACATATCATATTGTATCACACTCTGTTACAGCATCACATACATATCATATTGTATCACACTCTGTTACAGCATCACATACATATCATACTGTACCATACTCTGTCACAGCATCACATACATATCATATTGTACCACACTCTGTTACAGCATCACATACATATAAAACTGTATCGTGCTCTGTTACAGCATCACATATGTATTTAGCTGTATCACACTACTGCTGATGACTCTTGGCTGAAGCCTGTTACAGAAGATCCTTTACACAAGCTGCTTGCCTGTGCCAAACATGATGTACACAATCCAACCAAACAAACAGACACCAGCAGTCTGATTAAACACAGCTGCCCAGCTCTTGGTAGCCTCCAGGATGTGGCCAGCCATGTACACACCCACAAAACCTGCAGAGAAACCAAATAAATCAAGCAAACTGTTGATTGTTATGGCATATTTAAGTTTATTTTCACCATGTTCTATCTGTTTATACAAATACAGTAGTACTGTTAACAGAAAAAAATCATATAAGCCAGAGTTTCCAAAATTTCCAAAATTTTTGAAGTATTTTTGTCATCAATCTAGAAATATCTCTTACCTGGTATAGCACCAGCCATGTTCATAATGCCTGAAAAAGAGAAGACAAAACACTTTTACCCATAGCAGTATTGTGACTCTTGTAGACATACATTGATTCAGTTTCATACACATTTTTTTTTACACCTTTTACAAAATATGAAACTCTATTAAACTTTTAATGGATATACATGTATCTACATTTGTAGCCCGAGTTTCCTATGGCCCTAGCACCAGACCTAGACATTTTGACAGATAGATGTTTGGTGTGGGGCCAGAGCGCATTCCTATATGAAAACGTGGAATTCTCCAACAACGTTTGGTATTGGGGAGTGACTAATCAATAAAAAAGATGCGGCCCGGAAATCTTCTAAACAAGAATGATATATCCCATTTTCGACCTGGATCAGTACGGGTTGTTGATTAGTCACTCCCATGAACTACAAAATGGCATTCGCTAAGGTAGGAAATTTTGTACGATTGAAAACCGAGGAGTCTACTGATGAAATTTAGCAGATGTTGTAGACCGAGTTTCCTCCGGCCCTGACACCAGACTATCTGTCAAAATGTCTTAGTCTGGTGTCGGGGCCAGAGGAAACTCGGGCTACAGCTGTTGGTGATAATAAGGGCAGACTTGGATAAATGAATAATCCATTTTTCGACATATGTGAGGTATGTGTTGTGTGGTGGTAGATTTTTGTTGTCCATGCATCATAACTCTCCCGATACCAACCGGTGTTGGAGAATTCCACGTTTTTATATAGAAGTGCGCTCTGGCCCCACACCAGACAGCTATCTGTCAAAATGTCTGAGTCTGGTGCTAGGGCCGGAGGGAACTCGGGCTACTACATCTATAAACCAGATAGCTATGAGGTGGTGACACATCTGCAATTATGTGGAAGAAAGCACCTTAAAGCAACTCAATACATCTCAAACCTTAGACAACATTACAAAGGTAAGTCTTACCAAACACAGCCCCAGCATGTCTTGGTGCGATATCCTGGGGATTGACAAGGATGCCGCTGTTATGGAAACCACAGCATGCCACTGCTATAGCCATGATAAACAGGGCCGAATAGTAACTGGTGGTATAGGAAATCGTTACTAATGCTGCGGACGTGCCACAGAGGGCTATACTCTGAAACACAAGAAATAACGGAATAGTAACTAGTGGTATAGGAAATCATTACTTATGCCGTGGACATGCCACAGAGGGCTATACTCTGAAACACAAGAAATAATGGAATAACAACACTTGAACTCAATAACTGTATTAATACCTGCACAACATGAAGTTAAGGGGAATAACTCTAGTAGAATTATACTCTTTTCTAGAGAATCTGTTACTATGACAAGATGATATCAAATCTTACCTCCATAAACTTTCTCACAAATGTCACACTGTAACCTGTAACAGACATGAAAACAACAAATTACTGAAGACTGCATATTTTGACGATCTGGAGAATATATATAATTTTAAGTCTTGAATTGTAACAATGACAAAGTCTAGGTTACATTTTCACTGTAAAATGTTTATTTGTTTGATAAAGGTGACATTGTACATACTGTACTAACCATTGAAATGTCACACATAGACACGTTAAAACTGGTTGTGCTATATGAATCTTTATACAAAACAAAGCAGTGTTGAAGTACTGTGTATTTGCTTATCATGTCAATGCAATTTTCAATACAAATATGCATTAAATGCCATTTCTTTTTAACTTATTTTCTTACAAACAGGCTGGGTAGAGTTTACCTTTGGCTAACATACGGTCTGCAATCCAACCTCCTAGTACAGAGCTGAACATGGTCACAACCCACGGCACCACATTAAACACCCATCCCTACAGAAAATACAGAGGCAAGTCCAAACGTTACTGATGGTAAACACCCATCCCTACAGAAAATACAGAGGCAAGATCAAACGTTACTGATGGTAAACACCCATCCCTACAGAAAATACAGAGGCAAGTCCAACCGTTACTGATGGTAAACACCCATCCCTACAGAAAATACAGAGGCAAGTCCAACCGTTACTGATGGTAAACACCCATCCCTACAGAAAATACAGAGGCAAGTCCAACCGTTACTGATGGTAAACACCCATCCCTACAGAAAATACAGAGGCAAGTCCAACCGTTACTGATGGTAAACACCCATCCCTACAGAAAATACAGAGGCAAGTCCAACCGTTACTGATGGTAAACACCCATCCCTACAGAAAATACAGAGGCAAGTCCAACCGTTACTGATGGTAAACACCCATCCCTACAGAAAATACAGAGGCAAGTCCAACCGTTACTGATGGTAAACACCCATCCCTACAGAAAATACAGAGGCAAGTCCAACCGTTACTGATGGTAAACACCCATCCCTACAGAAAATACAGAGGCAAGTCCAACCGTTACTGATGGTAAACACCCATCCCTACAGAAAATACAGAGGCAAGTCCAACCGTTACTGATGGTAAACACCCATCCCTACAGAAAATACAGAGGCAAGTCCAACCGTTACTGATGGTAAACACCCATCCCTACAGAAAATACAGAGGCAAGTCCAACCGTTACTGATGGTAAACACCCATCCCTACAGAAAATACAGAGGCAAGTCCAACCGTTACTGATGGTAAACACCCATCCCTACAGAAAATACAGAGGCAAGTCCAACCGTTACTGATGGTAAACACCCATCCCTACAGAAAATACAGAGGCAAGTCCAACCGTTACTGATGGTAAACACCCATCCCTACAGAAAATACAGAGGCAAGTCCAACCGTTACTGATGGTAAACACCCATCCCTACAGAAAATACAGAGGCAAGTCCAACCGTTACTGATGGTAAACACCCATCCCTACAGAAAATACAGAGGCAAGTCCAACCGTTACTGATGGTAAACACCCATCCCTACAGAAAATACAGAGGCAAGTCCAACCGTTACTGATGGTAAACACCCATCCCTACAGAAAATACAGAGGCAAGTCCAACCGTTACTGATGGTAAACACCCATCCCTACAGAAAATACAGAGGCAAGTCCAACCGTTACTGATGGTAAACACCCATCCCTACAGAAAATACAGAGGCAAGTCCAACCGTTACTGATGGTAAACACCCATCCCTACAGAAAATACAGAGGCAAGTCCAACCGTTACTGATGGTAAACACCCATCCCTACAGAAAATACAGAGGCAAGTCCAACCGTTACTGATGGTAAACACCCATCCCTACAGAAAATACAGAGGCAAGTCCAACCGTTACTGATGGTAAACACCCATCCCTACAGAAAATACAGAGGCAAGTCCAACCGTTACTGATGGTAAACACCCATCCCTACAGAAAATACAGAGGCAAGTCCAACCGTTACTGATGGTAAACACCCATCCCTACAGAAAATACAGAGGCAAGTCCAACCGTTACTGATGGTAAACACCCATCCCTACAGAAAATACAGAGGCAAGTCCAACCGTTACTGATGGTAAACACCCATCCCTACAGAAAATACAGAGGCAAGTCCAACCGTTACTGATGGTAAACACCCATCCCTACAGAAAATACAGAGGCAAGTCCAACCGTTACTGATGGTAAACACCCATCCCTACAGAAAATACAGAGGCAAGATCGAACGTTACTGATGGTAAACGCCCATCCCTACAGAAAATACAGAGGCAAGCCCAACCGTTACTGATGGTAAACACACATCCCTACAGAAAATACAGAGGCGAGTCCAACCGTTACTGATGGTAAACAACCATCCCTACAGAAATACAGAGTCAAGTCCAACCGTTACTGATGGTAAACACCCATCCCTACAGAAATACAGAGGCAAGTCCATCCGTTACTGATGGATATATTTTAGTCCCTTTGCGGACATTTTTTTTGCACTAGTACATGTACATAAAATCATCAGATCTTCATATTGAATTTAAACCAAGTTAACTTTTGAATATTTTATTCACAACACCTTATACTTGCCATTCTCTCTGATCCTCATTATCTTGTTTAAAAACTGAATATTCCATTTACATTTGTGTGTATCTATGATAACTTTAACTGTACACAATTTTTAACTTTGCATCTTCATCTTCATCTTTTAAGCTTCCTTCGTCGATACTGACGATTACGGAATGATGCAAAAACATTTATTTCTCTCACAACATGAATTTAGCATGAGCACTTTTAAGACAATCATAAAGTAATTCCACAAATATTTATCTACAATGAATTAGTAAATGTGTTCAAGGATACAATCATTAGCTGGGAAAAGCTTTCTTGACATACATGTAAATCAATCAATACCACTGCAAGAAAAGTTTCATACACCCATCAAAATGTTACAATTGAAAATCCATCTTACAATAGCTGTATAATCACTATATATTGTAACCTGAAAAACAAAGGCTATCCCTCCAGCTGTATCTTACTTCATTATCAATTACTTTTATTTTTATAATTATTAATACTGAAATTAAATCATTGATGACCTTCAATTCAAAATGGACCAGATCACGATTCTATAAACATGCACAACATTTTTCGTGTATCTACTAATGTTTTTCAAAAACTTCAAAACAATAATCTTATTTGAACATAACACTGAGATACAGTGTAATATAGTTTGACAATCAAGGTGTTTTCATGTTCATGTAATAATCTTAAATTTTATCTGTACATAGAGAATATTCTTTCACAAAAAAGAGATTAAAACTAAATCAAATTCCTTATAAATTTGAAGTAAATATATAATAATATCTAAAAGTAGCAGGAGCCATAACATTAATTTGCAAGGGTTCAAATTTACAAAAGCCATATTGTAAAGATAATATCTAGACAATAACGACATTACTGAGTAAAGAATGATTGTCTGTAACATATGATAAACATATTTGCAAATAAAGAAGTTGAGATTAAGCTCTTAAGGAATACAGCAGATTTCAGATTATATTAATTTAACAGATACAAATTGTAATAGATTTTTAATTTCAAGATTTCTCGTATAGTTTTGTAAAATGTGCAAACTACATTCAGGTGTCTACAAACAGTGCTAGTTTACAAATGACTGTGTTTAATTAATTCTGGTACAAATTAAATGTTTCTCTCTGTTCCACTGTGCTGTATTTCTGAGTAGGATCTGATAAACTCTGCCTCAGGAATCATGCTCTCTCCATCATTTAATCAAACTAATCAGTATGGGACTTTTAAAATCCTTGGAATAAGATAATATATTTAGTCATTCATATTTTGGCATTTTTCTATAGCATATGCCATATATATGGGTTTTGAATGAAAAGTCTTGCGAACAGGACCTCTGATATGGTGTTTTCTGACCCTACAATTACATATAGTGTACTTTAGAGGAACGGAGGAAAGGATATACATATACTTATCTTAAAATTAAATCTGATTAGGAAAGGTTTGTATAAAGGTCACATCTGTATTAGTCTGTAGAAATAATTCAAACAATAGAAACACATTTTCACCTCATTAGTTGTCATGCTTGTTGACAGTATCAGCCAGAAATTATAATAACTATTAACTCGCAAATTGCTCACTCAGAAAATATCAAACAGATTAAAGCAGTGTACAACACAATATCCAGAAAACATGCTAAGAAGAAGAAATATTCAGAAAACATGCCTTGAAGAAGAAGCAGTTACGAATAATGATGTTTTTGATTGAAGACAGACAAATCATAGGCCAAACAGTCAAGTAATATCGACAAAAATGACGATGGAGTAACTGCTAAGAAAATATTAAACTCCACCGTATCGAAAAGACATTAATTTATGTAAAATCTATCAATAACCACAACGACACTGAAATGATTTCATTGTGATGACACCTTTATCTAACAGGTACAAATAAACAAGGTAAGTTGAAAAAGAATGAGCTAATTTTTTGAGTATATAGATAAATAATTATAATAGGTAATGCATGTGAAGATGTCAATAAAACAAAGAAGAAAACAAATTGAAAGTTAGGACAGAAAATAAAAGCCCAACACACCGAGTTATTTATGCTTTTAGAGTACAGGTAATACAATACCCAAGTATCAAGTTTTTATGTGGAAATCATCACATTTAAATACTGTACTGAAGTTTTTTTAATGCCCATAAAATAAGGTATATTTTTCATCTGTACAGGTCACATAGTTACTGGACTTGCAGTTACAAGAGTTAAGTTTGAGCCCTTATCACACCTTTCCCACACATATAACTCAAATATGAGGGTGAATTGTATGCACAGTGAAACAATTTGTTACATCACATGCCAAAACTGAATTATTAGCAAAAAAACATTGAAATTCCTGGCAATCTCTATACTTTACGGTGTGCATGTGGACAATTGGGCGTTGGAAATAAACATGTACGGTTAGACAGCCAGACACCTCAAACTAATTAGCAGTTCTACAAGGAACCAACAGATTAACTCATTCACCCCTACATATTTAAACTGGATATGCCCAGTCTTTGATTTGGTAAGGTTCAAATGTGACTTTAGGGGTGAATGGGTTAAAGGCAATGAGGCATTTAAGTTCATCTAATACCTAAGGAGATATCTTTACCTTAGCATCGGGAAAATTTTCATGAAAATATGTAGGTAACCATGACAACAGGATAAAAAATGCATTATTTTCACAGAAATGTCCAATGAGAAGAGACCTGAAATTAGAAAAAGATTTACATCGTGTGAACATTTCTGCCATTATTATTTTCCAGTATTACCTTGGCATCAGGAAAGTTCTCATGGAAAAAGGTAGGTAACCATGACAACAGGATATAGAAAGCATTATTTTCACAAAAATGGCCAACAAGCAGAGACCTGGAAGAAAGAGATTTAAAATGAAAATGAAATGAAAATAAAAAGTCATCACTGTACATGTTAACATAACATGCTTGTGTATGCATATCGATTGCCAGATGGTGTTGTTTATAATTATTATCTACATATGTCTTAGCTATATTCACAAGGATGAATAATTAATCACATGAACATTCTAGTAATACAGAGTGCAAATTTAGCAGTAGCCTTGTAGCACCAGGCAATAATAGAGTCAGGCCGAGACAAAATTAGCATACAGTGACTGTTTGTTTCAACAGTTAATATTCAGAAAATAGATAACTGGACTATGACAAAACAACTGTTAATTAGATAATACATGTATACAATTGCATTGTGCAAAGATATGTCCAGCACAATACAGAATACACAACATACTATTCTTTTAAGAAGATATCATTGCCAAATAAGTTGACAAAGCTACAAAATTATTTTATAATGTGATCTTATCAGTCACTGCTTCCCTCCAATGCCTACCAGGTAAATACAAGTATCAATCAATGTGAATTTACCTGTTCTTGTGTACAGTGTTTAGCAGTCAACACTCTATACATGTAATCTATGTATAGTATATACAGACACTAAAAGTGGTTTTCAATCTTGTTGGAGTATAATTATTCATCTGTTACTTCTCAATCTGTATCTTATAAGTCTAAAGTTAATCAGGATAGAACTACACATCCAGCGTTAATCCATTAAGGGACATAATCTTATCAAAACATTGAGCGGACATTGCTCACCATCTTGACTGCCAATTCATGTGAAATATATAATATGTCCCACATTTGATGAAAGTACAAAAAATATCTTTCATTTCAAGAAAATTCATTTGACAGAATATACAGATAAAATGATGCCCTGACGTAAAAAAAATTGAGATGCATTTTTGAAAAGCTATTTTAATACTCACACAGTTTGAGAAAATGAACTTGTTAAAATGAAATATTGCTGGCAAACTAAATGGAAATGGGTCAAAATTGGCCTTTCTTATACATGTAGATACCATAATGACATATAAAATAGGATAATGTGTGATTTTTATTTTCATAATATGTGACATATATAAGTCATCTCAACACTCTGTAACTCAAAACTGATGTGCACTGTGTGAACAAAATCCCTCGCAATACAAGTTTTTTGCAACTGAAACAAAGAGCAATTCCTTAAGGCACCTGATCTTTGTGGCAGATACGCATACATCCAAGTATCAGGTAAAATGTTAACATGATAGTGAGGGGGGAATACTCACCAGAACGCAGGTTTCACTAAGAGTGTAAGCCAAGGGACTGACTTCTCCCCCTTGTTTGTGATTTTCGGACTGATGCCCTCCCCAACAGATACTAAAGGCACATATTTTTTTCTATGTTTCTCTATTAATAAATAACGCAGAAGCAACATCCACACTACACTACTGAGACCTGAAAAGATATACAAATGAAAAACATTAAATAACAATTTTTAGTAGATAAAATGACTGCTACATCTACAATCATCGTCAGATACCCACGACTGATTTTACAATCATTGTCGGATACCCACGGCTGATTTTACAATCATTGTCGGATACCCACGGCTGATTTTACAATCAGCGTCCGATACCCATGGCAGATTTTACAATCATTGTCGGATACCCACGGCTGATTTTACAATCATCGTCAGATACCCACAGCTGATTTAACAATCATCGTCGGATACCCACGGCTGATTTTACAATCATCGTCAGATACCCACAGCAGATTTTACAATCATCGTCGGATACCCACAGCAGATTTTACAATCATCGTCAGATACCCACAGCTGATTTTACAATCATCGTCAGATACCCACGGCAGATTTTACAATCATCGTCAGATACCCACGGCAGATTTTACAATCATCGTCAGATACCCACGGCAGATTTTACAATCATCGTCAGATACCCACGGCAGATTTTACAATCATCGTCAGATACCCACGGCAGATTTTACAATCATCGTCAGATACCCACGGCAGATTTTACAATCATCGTCAGATACCCACGGCAGATTTTACAATCATCGTCAGATACCCACAGCAGATTTTACAATCATCGTCAGATACCCACGGCAGATTTTACAACCATCGTCGGATACCCACGGCTGATTTTACAATCATCGTCGGATACCCACGGCTGATTTTACAATCATCGTCGGATACCCACGGCAGATTTTACAATCATCATCGGATACCCACTGCAGATTTTACAATCATCGTCGGATACCCACAACAGATTTTACAATCATCGTCGGATACCCACAGCAGATTTTACAATCATCGTCAGATACCCTCAGCAGATTTTACAATCATTGTCAGATACCCACACAAGATTTAAAAATCATCGTCAGATACCCACAGCAGATTTTACAATCATTGTCGGATACCCACGGCTGATTTTACAATCATTGTCGGATACCCACGGCTGATTTTACAATCATCGTCGGATACCCACGGCTGATTTTACAATCATCGTTAAATACCCACAGCTGATTTTGCTTCCCTTCTCACTCATCAGCTGTTGGTATCCGACGAGGATTGTAGATGTGCATCAAAATGTGTTTAAATATTATATATCTTATTATTAGAGCAATTTTTTGCTGACATCTATGAAGTCATATTTACTTCCCAGTGCAGAGAACTGCTTTACGTACATTCATCTCTGTAACAAATGATGCTTACAGCAATCTAATTACTTTGGTACAATGGTGTTGATTATATACACATGTTTAACTCTAATATCATTCATTATCAGATTTCATATTGAAGTCCAATTTTCTGTACATCAACTAGTAGCTAGTAGCTATTAAAAATACTCTGACATATATATATCAACAGATCATCAGAAATATCTTTCTTAATTCTCATGACAGATTCAGCTAGCCTACATTGTATATAAAAAATTATGAATACCAAGGCAGAGGTTCTCAAATTTGGTTAATTTGAAATGTCCATAAAACTTCGAGTATTTTTACCATCATTTATCTTGTGACATTTTAGCTCAAAAAGTGCAAAAATTGATTTAGTTCTGATGATTTGGTTCTGATGATTTGAATCTAAACAGGTTTAAATTTTCACTTTAATATAATATAAGTTTTGGGTCAATATGGACATCATTTCTTTTAAGGTGGAGATTGAGAGATTTCATATACAGGGGGTACTCAAAATTATATGAGACAAACCATTTTAGTAGTAATTTTTGAAAGAAAACTACAGTAACCAAAATTCTTTCTTAATTTTATCAATTTAAGTACAACTTAATAAATATAAAGTATTTGTGGTTATTTCACACTACTTACCTGCAAAGTAAAATACACTTTGCCAGCCATATTTGTCTAAAAGTAAAGATCCTATACTGCCGCATAACAACGTGCTGAAGAAAAGAAATAAACAAAAATAATGATAAGTTAATGACATTTTAATAAACATTAAGATAGAAAATTAACTACATGTGATCATTTGCAGTACTCTATTTTAAAATTATAATGACAAAGTTTCATTACAATTCTAGATTTCAAAATCGAATAATTTAATGATAAACTCCATTGTAAAACGTATCCTTTAAAAAGGACATTCTTAATTCTCAATATTCATACTTCAAGATTGTATCTAGTGCGTAACCTTAGAATTTTGAAAATTGTACTTATTTTGTATTAAGAAATAGATATTACACACACCATTACAAATATGTAAATGTCTGATTGAAGCTTTTTTTTCCACATAATGTTAATTATTTCTAAACCAGTTTATTTTTTTGTCAGAATATATCAACATAATGTTTGAACTGTTACATCTCTTTTGCAAACTATTCTGTATACAAAGCAACCAAGTTGGCAAATATATCAAGAATTAAATGACATTGTTAAAAGCCATGGTATGGGACAGTTGAAAAGCCCGGAGTATATACATGGTATGGGGACACCTATGACTACAGGGAAGACAAGCCAGGAAAAGTAGGAAAATCACCAAGCCACAACCAATTTCAGAGGTTACATAAATTTGAAGTTCATAAAAAATAGGTTCATAACCAAATACTTTATTAAAAAGTAACTTAAATAAAAAAAAAAACATTTTTTGTACTGTACTAAACAAACTTTGAAAATATCTTGTCATCTTTTGAATTACAAGAAATCAAGCGAATAAAAAATATAAATTAGAATATTATTGTATTAAGAAATCTGATCATCTTGAAAACACTTCAAGTCAAATCCTTTTACCAACCACAAAAAAACTTTTATGGGATCCCTCAAACAGTATTGAATGTGATGTTACACTTCTGGTGATAGTATAAAGGCCTTGGCTCACAATGGTAGCCAACAAATGTCAAACATTAAAGGAGTTTCTACTGTATTTGTATTTTTTCTTTGATTTCTTGATGCTTTAGAAAAGATTTTTGAACAGTTCAGTCTTGTGAATTTGTGAATCTGCATGTCACAGTAGATGGATATGGCAAAATAATGAAAAAGGTGAAAGTGCAGGAGGCAAGTTACCCAAGATGGGATCCCGAGCAGATGAAGCTGTAAGTTAACGAGCGCTCCTGTGCTGAAACTTTTCTTGACACCATGGAGCTCATACTAGGATAGTGGAAACCTGTCAGGGGAGAGAACTCTGAGTTTACTATTCAATTATATTCTTCATCATCATCAAGAATAAGTCAGCATCCTTGATCTTTGCATCATATATTTATTGCCATCGAAATGAATGTCTTGCATGCTCTTCTTTCTTTTTCGTTGACAATCTTGAGGATACTCAATTAATTAATGGGACATGGCATACTGCAACATAGGAAATGTTGGTATTTGTTGAAACCTGTTCAAACTGTAGTAAACAAAATTACATTAATCCTCAGTGGGACATCAGAGATAATTAAAAGGGTACAAAATTGGTCAGATCCGTCAAAGATGTCCTATTTTACAGTACATTTCCACATCTCTCCATTTCTCCCCTGCTAGATTTGATCAGCATATATAAATGTACTGTACATAGTGCTGATTTCCCTTATAAACAAGTGCTGTAAATACAATGTATGAAAAAATACACAGTAATATACAACATACTTAACCCAGTCTTCACAAGGAAACTAAATATTATACAAAATATTGAATCATTTTATTTTTATTTTATTTGGACCATTTAACACACAAGTCAAAATTTAACTCACTTTTTTCAGACATTATTTGACAAGCACACATAGTCTTTTCATAACATTTTCTGTCAAATTTTGGATTTTATTATACAATTTTTGTTACACGAGACATGGTTTTTGTGGAATAATTATATTACTAACATATTTAGATATTTTAATAGTTTGAAATTAAAGGAAGTGGTGATCATGAACTGTCCATACTAATTATAGAATATTTTGTTCCTTGTGAAGTGGAAAAAATAGTAGAGCCTTCTTATCAGATACTCAGAAAAATTTAAGCCCCACCTCCCTCTGACTATATTTGAAGTGGGTTTTTTGTCCCCACCATCATAATAAGAAGGTTTTACTATATGTAAATCATAATAAGTGTAGTATTTATGTAAACTTTTTACAACATCTACAGAAAATAATTAATGACTAAACATAGCTATATATTTGACCCAGGTTTCACAATCAACCTTAATATTTAACTTTTTTTAAATAATCAAAATGACAAAAATCTTCGAAATATTTATAACGTGCTTGTAACCAATCTGATCAATAAGATACACATCCATGATTTGACTCTCTCATGAAATATGTGTAAATTTAGAAAAAAACTATTGAATACTATATTTGATCTTAGCTGAAATTGAAGTTTAAAGTTGATTGTGAAACAAAAGAATTTTTGTCCAACAGCGTTTACTCTAAATAATAAACTCCTTAATTGTCACTTTCTCAGTTTTTTGCCAGCTTAGCATAAATATCTTATATTCTTTACAATGTACATCATTATCATCAGAAGCTCATCTTTTTTCATGAAAACAATTTTAATGATTGAAATAAAAATAGTTTCATGAATTAAAAATTATTTTCATCTATCACAATCTGGGTGACTTACCCAAAATATTGTTCATATAATTTGATTTGAAAGGAAGCCTTGTTTTGTGTGTATGGTCTCCCTCAGATTAAATACAAGCTGTAAACTACATTCATAATTATAACCATTCCCTACAATCTAGCTCTTTCCAGTTATCTTGTGTGATGAAAAGGCTATTTAATTTTTATCTATATCTAAAATAGCCATACCTTTTGTAAACACATGTTCATGAATCAGCATCAGTGATGCTTGACATCTTTACTTTCGATTTGGATTGAGAGCGGCATTTTCAACAAAGTTTAACATTTTAGGAAACTTTTTTGAGTATCTACACAAAAATGTATGCACACTTGGCATATTTTTGTGCGTGCAAGGGGGTTTGAGATATTTGTAATTTACACAGGATTTTGAGTGATGGGGAACAATGCATAAATTTCTTTTTTGATGTCCAGTGTTGGAGTAGATATTTTACTTGAATAACCCTTACTGCAATTGTGAAAAATTTGGCAAAATATTTGAATTGCTGATTAAAAATGAATTTACCCTCTTCTTATATAACTCAAAATTACTTAAACTTGTAAGTGACTTTCAGAAGAAAAAGACATTATTTTTCTAAGATGACCAGTCAAGTGGCATCTTTTAAAAAAATGTTTAATCTCAACTTGCTACAATATAGATTTCTATCTACGAGAATCTCTTCCATTCAGAGAATGAAATAACCCAAGGTGAAAGGTGTCACAGACTCACCCCAAGTATGAGCCTGTGGCAATCAAAGCTGTGTAGGATGATTTCACCTCAACAGGTATAAATTGACCAACCAGGCTTGTCATGCTAGGCATGTAAACAGCTAACAAGTGACAGGTGTAAATGGTAAGTTCATGTACATAAACATTTGTAAAGGGGAAGTTTATGACTTATTGACTATATATATCCATAACCTATATTAGATGTACATAAAATTGTCAAACAAATCATAATATGATAAGAAATGATACACAAACTTTCATTTCGTCCGTTACAAGGTAAACAGTTATCTTAAATAAATTCTTTTCAAAAACGATTCATCACATACTACCTTCCAAATTAACACAATATTCTACTGGGGAGGGAAAACGGTAACAACATCAGTAACAAATATAATGTTGACAGATGAATAATGTTGAAGGCCTTGTACATTTTCACACCAGTTCTATATATATGGTAATGTTAAAGTAAAGGTTCTGTCATAACTAATCCCAAAAACATTCTAACCTTTCATAGCATCAACAACATCAATGAAGTTTTGACATTTTGCAGAGTTGACTGAAGCAGATATTGAACACTTACTGCATTCAAAAGATACCAGAATAATACAAAATATGCACATGTGCCAGCATTACATTATTAAAGAGTTTGAATGACAGCAAAGCAGTGATCAAAAGGGTTTTTGGGTAGCAGATGCTATGTTAGAGTCTTATATCATAATGTTGCCACCGGCAAAGTGCCTCAGGCAACATTCTGATCTTCGGGCTCCACATAGCATCCGCCGCCCTAAAACTCAACCAATAAATTTTAAGGTCTAATGATCTTCATCAACATCCTTTTAATATTGATTCCTAGAGATTACATTATTTATTTTATCTTGTCATCACATACAATATGTTTCATTCAATCACAAGAAAATACCATTCCAAGAATTTCATGTTTTCAAAACAATTTTTGATTCTTTGACATTTTAAACCAAATTTGTGTTGACATAAAAATTATGAAAACATTTTATCCAAATCACTGATACGTACCTTGGAATATCCCGAGGAACACCCTGGAGATAACCAGTATGTGCAGCGTGAGGTATTTGTCTGTGGACAGGTAGGCTAACTGGGGTGTCCAGAACGTGATCATGGACCAAAAACAGGCAGCTATGGGCAGGACCACATCACCGCCCACCTTATCAGCCAGGTAGCCACCCAGGAACTGTGTCATTGTGTACCCCCAGAAGAAACATGACAGCACTGATCCCTGTTGGCAATTCAATTGAGAGTCAGATTTACATAAATATCAGGTACTAATATTTTCATTGACGACCGACGGACGCCGAGGACGGACGCCGCGCCACGGCATAAGCTCACTTGGCACTCTGTGCCAGGTGAGCTAAAAACGGTACTAGTCTTTTTAATTATGTACGAATTAGCTTGAAATATCGTTAGGATCATACAAGTACTTCAAAAATATCTTTAATAGATCATTTTAAGCTTACCTGACCCGAAGGGCCAAGTGAGCTTATGCTGTGGTGCGGCGTCCGTCATCCTTCCGTTGTTCAGCGTCAATGTTTTACTTTTAACAACTTCTTCTTAATAACCAAGAGGCCTAGGGTGATGAAATATGGCCAGAAGCAAATTGGAATGAAGGGCTACCAAGTTTGTTCAAATAAATGACCTTCAACTATTTTCAAGGTCACAGAGGTCAAATATGTTAAAAACTTTAAACAACTTCTTCTAAATAACCAAAATGCCCAGAGTGATATTTGGCCAGTAACATGCTAGGATGAAGGGCTTACAAGTTTGTTCAAATGAATGACGATAAATATTCAAAGTCACAAGGGTCAAATATGTTAAAAGCCTTGAAACAATTTCTTCTTAATAACCATTAAGCCTAGGATAATGATATTTGGCCAGCAGCATGCTGGGATAAAGGGCCACCAAGTTTGTTCAAACGAATGACCTTTACTTAGTGGTCACATATGTTTAAAACCTTTAAACAACTTCTTCTCAATAAGCAAAAGGGTAAGGGTGATGATATTTGGCCATTAACATACTGGGATGAAGGACTTCCAAGTTTGTTCAAATGAATGACCTTCACCCATATTCAAAGTCACAGTGGTCAATATATGTTTAAATCTTTAAATGACTTGTTCTGTAAAACCAATAGGTCCAGGGTAATGATATTTTGCCAGAAGCATACTGGGTTGGACAACTATGAACTCTGTTCAACCTAATGTCCTTGTTCGACATTCAAGGTCACAGGTGTCATATGTTTAAATCTTTTAATAGGTCCTTATTAGTCAAACACTGATATTCTGCGCCCGCGAGCCTGTCGCTGTATTTTAGTCCACTTTTAAGTTTATAAGTGTGAGATTAATACCAGGTGAGCGATTCAGGCTCATTGGGCTTCTTGTTTTATTTTGAACTTGATTTGATTTTGAGGCTTTTATTATCGGAAACAGGGTTACACAATTTAAAAGGTTTCCAAAGAATGCTTTATAATCATCTCCCAGGCACTGTGCACTGATATAATGGCACTAGACTTGTACTTGGAACTGCATATGTATATATTACAATTACAGTTACAACTTCCAGACTTTCTGTAATACAAAACAGGATTTTGTGTAAAGAATTGTAAGATCAATAAGTTATGATACATACGCTCTGGGTTTTGTCCCAGCCAAATTCCTTGGCCATTGCAGCAATGACCAAAGGAGTGACTGTGCGACAGGCATAGAGGACCCCACAACCAGAAAACAGACCAGCAGCCCATTCCTTTCTTTCTGTCCTGTGTGTAAAAAACATAATTTCATATTTTAGGAAATAAATGAGTATTCAACTGGTTTTCAATCCAGTCACTTACAAGACATCATGATCGCTCATTATAAACTTCCTTTGGTCAGATATTTTCTGTGAAATATTTACTGGAGTCAAACATATATCGAAAGTATGCATATAATTATCCTCACGGTTCACCATTTTGCTTTTAAAATATCCTATATTTGCTGGCTCTTCCAGCAGGCATAGTTATGTTTCTGATAGTTTATCCTATACAATGAAGCTGTTTAATTTGTTTCAATCTTGTGGAAATGTCTGATAATTTTGGGCTACATATATATACAATAACAAATATAACAGGGTCCTCTGTTTAAAACAGTGCTCTTTTTACAATTCTTAAAATACCCCAAGAACACTTGATGTAAACTGGACAACTCTTCCTACATTAGCAGAAGACCCTTTAAAAGATTCTCTAATATACATACAGCCGATTGTTTAACCTAACGGGAACTAGCAAAAGCAAATCAATACTATCGTTGCTCAAAGTCAAAGCCAGAACTGTGTCCAATGATAAATAACCAACCTCTCATTCTATTCTAAAATGCATATTCAAGAAATGGTGAATTATAAATTTGCATTTATAACTTACATAAATTTAGAAGTGTAATATTCATCTCATTCTTCATTCTGTATTACGTTACAGTATTCTAATTTATTTCATTATATGAATAATATTCTACAAAACACATTATAATCTAGATATGATAATGTTTCAATCATCTCACTATAATTAAGAATTAATTATGAAACACAACATGTACAAAATGTTTGCAACAATACACCAGAGGTGGTGTGCAGATTATTGGAAGAAGAAGTAACAGGGGTAGCAACTCTTGAATCATCCCTGTTACACTAGTATACAAAATGGAAGAAGACAAATATGTGTACATAGAAACACCATTCGATAAAAATAGCTACAACTGAAATAGCGCAATTTCCTATTCTTTCAGTGAAAAGACAACATGTACAGTACTACGCTGTCGACCGACAACACAGTGTCAGTTATGAGTCGGAGTTCACACATAACACAATTCTTGAATTTACACAATACATCACAAGTAAGAATTAAAAATATCATAATATATACCCCTAATAAGATATTTCTGTTCACATTTGGATTTGAATAAGAACGAACCAGTTCAATTAGGCCTAGAGCATGCACGCACTGATAGGGTGTCGCTGGGAGAATTTCAAACCACAGAAAGTAGGATATCAAAAGAATTTAACGTAAAATAGATCACTCCTTTGCAACGATGGATTAGATGCTGTTAAAAGATGATTTTGATTCGAAATAGATGCATATACTTGTATTCAGAAAGGCAAGGTGAAAAAGAGCGAGAAGTTACCTTCTCTCCTTGGCTGGAAAGACATTTTTGATAGCTAGAAAGTATGGCTGTACAGTTAAGGATTTCTCCATTGCTGATTAAAAACACCAAGAAAACATCGTCAATTTCTCGACATGAATTGTTCATAGGGATTGTCAAACTATACAAGCATGAAGAGTTTTGCGACAAGGTTATAAAAAAAAACGTTGATACTAAATTGTCCCTTTAAATGGGTAAAGGGTTGTTTCGTCCTAAAGCCTGATCGACCTAAATATTTCTTCTTAATTTATACGTTTATATAATAATTAATATTTAAATATATAAAATAAACTTATTGATGACTTTCTACATCTGTGTTAGGTATATTTCATGTTAAGTATGTGAGAGCGGAGTCAGCTTTTCACAGCTGTCGTTTGTCAATGTCACACTCGCTTAAAAACAAGACAAACACTTTTTTTTATGAAATTGATTTAAATTATATGGAATTTGAAGACTAAGAAGACTTAATTTGTGACTTAAAACTACTAAAATTGAAAGAAAATACCAAACAATGTTTCGCCCTCATATTTTTGTTTTAGGGCGAAACAACCTTGGGCGAACGGGATTTAGAGCGAAACAACACGGAACCCTTTAAATGCCCCTCTAATCTATATGTTTATATTGACAACACTGAAAAGGAAACGGGACATACAAATCTCAATTTTTCTTTCAAAAAACAACACACAACAGTATTTGTGAGTCGATACATATCATTTTGCTATGTACATGCCCTACGACAGGTCAAACTAGAATATATGAAATGTGTTGAAGCATCTTTTTTCATTTTTAATGCATTTTACAACCCGGTACCTGTGTAGTGTGTATTCTGATGGGTCGAGTGTGCATGGCCCTACCAGACTACAACTCAGGGTGCTTAGTTGTATCAAAACTTCGGGAAAAAAATCGCTTTACATGACAAGCCAAACTGGATTGACAACAATTAAAACAAATCGTCCTACAACAAATAACTCCATCGTTGAAAACATTGATCAATGAAGCAGAGCATTTATAAGAAATACTGTGTAGCAAAGGAAGGGGGTGATCGGCGATATGTTTTAAACATCGTAACAGATGAATGTGAGTATACCTATTCCAGAATTTCCTATCCAGTCCCTTCACATCGTCCGTATCACTGATAGGAACTTTTATCTGTTTGTAGACGTCATCATCACGCTTCGCCATACTTCGCTTTTTCTTGGTCAATAAGGCGTTTGATAAAATAAAAATCGTCTCTGTTGCTACAACGCTTAATTTTTTCTTTAAGGATTCGTGCCCTTTCGAAATTAACATTAACGTTGAGCGGAATGTTCAATAATCAACAAATCAAACGGCAGTGACGTTCTAACATACTAATATGTAAACGGATGATCCGCAGTAGAGCTTAGCATTGACAATGGTTGAGATATCGAGGATGAGGGGAGTAAGGGTATGAAGTTCCAAATAAAATGAATGCAAAATGGTGTTTTTGTGTCTTTAAAAAACCCACATTGATGAACAGTGCGAACAGTAAACAAACAACAGAAAATTATTCAACTGACGGTGTTTGACATATTTATCCTGCCATTTGCGACAATACACCAGCTCGGTGGTATGCAGAATATTGGAAGATATTGTGGTGAATTTTGGGAAGAGTTATCTCCTTTAGACCGCTAACCGCGCCGACAACATCACACGTGCATGATTTTCCTACGAATATTCTAATAGATTTTGGGACCTGAGAGCAGTTCTCAACTACGTGATGTGACTGTGTGTGACAACACATACCAAATTAACAACATTTAGGGATCAGAAGTTCGGCGAACTGACGCTATTTCTGACGGACGTATTTTTCCATTTTTGTTTACTTGTCTTTTTTGGCCTTGCTGGTCCCCTCTCGCTCGCCGGGTGCGCTTGCATAGGTGACCAGTGCGCGAATTAAGAGTGAGAGACTTTAATATAAACTTTATTTACAACAATTATGGAACAAGTTATTTCAACTTATATTATTCACTCTTGGTAACCCGGATGTAAGCGCGAGGGGGTCTTAGTGTGGGAGGAAACCGGAGTACCCGGAGAAACCCACTTGATCGGGCAGGTGACCCCAAACTTTTCACGTCCGATCGGGGAATCGAACCCCGAGAGACTTTAGGACAGTTCTTATAGTTTATTGTTATTTATTTAATTTTTGTTAAGGGCAATTCAGAGTCGCCGGTTCGCTGCCGTTCTGATATTTATATTTAGTTTAATTTAGTTTAGTTGTTACTTTGTTACGGAGCTCAAATTCGCCTGTATAGTGGGCCGTCCATGATATATTGGCGGAATACATATGACAGGCGAGACTTCTGAGCTTTCGTTAGATTAGAGTTGTTAGTTTTATATTGTAAAATAATAATTATCATATGTTTACTCAGAATATGAGTGTTTTTGCATATTTGATAACTTCTGACCACTCCTGATACCACTTCCGGTCACCCGTGTGATAAGTTCCCGCCCC